AGGAAGCTGGAGTCGGGCGAGGGCTGCAGGGAGGTCGCCGGGCCCTGGACGCTGCTCTCCGAGGGGTAGCTGAGGACGGAGACCCTGCGAAGGACAGTGCAGGGCAGGCTGACCCTCCTCTTCCTCCTCCCCCCTGGCCTGCATGGAGCTCGTAGCCCGACAGGCTCCCCCAGAGCCTGCTGGAAACATGGGGAAACTGAGGCAAGGAGCAGTGACATCTCTCCAGAGTGGTGCCCTATGCTAGCCAGGGGTTGTCCAGACCCCGGCGGACGGCCCTGGGACGGGGATGCCGTCCTACAACCTTTTGCTGGGGTGGGGTCAGGGCTGCAGAGAGCCTTAAGGCTCGTAACCCCGGTGCCCAGAGGCCACGGTGATGGGCAGCTTAGGGGTTTGTGACCAGCTGGGCCTCCAAGGAAGGAGGGGATATCCCACAGTGCACCTGGGCTAGCATGCCGGTCCCATCCAGACTGTCAGACCAGGTCTGCCCAGCTGCCAATGCAGCGCCCGATCCCACCCCAAGCTCCGGTGAGCGGCTCGAGCAGCCGCGGGGTGGCAAAGGGAGCCCGGCCCGGCTGCTTACCCGTCCACGCTGTGAATGGGGCTGCTGGTCGAAAGGGGGCTGGGGGCAGCAAAGGTGCCGGCGAAGGTCCCGTTCCTCACCGGCGCGTCCGCGTCGTAGCCCTGCGGGGCCGGTGGGCTGGGGGGTGTCCCCCCACCGCCCGTCGCCGCCGTCCGCGCCACCGACTCCACGTAGCTCCTGGGTTCTGGGGAGAAAGCAAGGGTGAGGTGAAGCCGGAGAGAGGCCGGGGCGCCGTGTCCGGTCACCACTTTTGGTGGGGTCCATGGATTCAACCTGCGCCAATGCTCCTCCATGCCAGCCCTGTGCATCCCCGTGCTCAAGTTTGGGAGCCTCCACCCGCCCATGCACGATGCAGATACCTCCCAGCGCGTTTTCCTGCGACGGAAACCAAAGCAAAGGCCTAATCAGAAACAGAGCTGGGAGGGTCCCACATGTGCGCGGCCAGAGCAAGGACCTTCCAAGAGAGCATCCGCCGTGGCTCATCTAGCCTCACGTGGACGGCTCTCCTCTCCACGCCGCTCACCTAGGAGGTCACGGGGACGGGTCTCTGGGGTCCGCTCAACCCCACCTAACGGGACCCGCCCCGCGACCCCGGCTCTACGAGAGCAGGACGTTCCCTGCCGGTGGAAACGTCCTGGCCGAGCCCTTCTCTGGCACTTTTTGCAAGGGCAGCTCTTTGACGCTGCCTTGCAACGGCGCATATTTCCCGCTCCCCACCCGGCCTAAAATTAGCCCATCTGCACCCATGAGTCAGCTTGGGAGAGGCTCCGAAAAACCAGCGTCTTCACCCAACTCTGAGAGGGACCGTGACACGAGTGGGGAGACCTAGGGGTAAAAGAAGAATCGCGGAAGCAGGGCTGGCGGACGGGGCCTCGATCCTGCCTGGCGAGTCTGCCACCTAGATCAACCCCCTGCCCGAGGCAGGATCGGCCCTGCCCAAACCATCCCAGACGAACCCAGCACCTAAACTCCAGTCACCCCTGAAGAGCCAGGCTGCATCCCGACCCTGAGACTGTATTTCCCAAGCCCAGCACATGCTGCTTCCCATCGCTGCAACACCCTCGAGCCATTGCCAAGGACACCCAAGGAGCCTGAAGCCAAGCCACGATCCGAACTCAATCGTTCCTGGCCTTGCGCCGCGTATTCGCCGCTACCCCCCATCCCCGGTAGCTCTCGTGCTGGATGGCAGCTGCAGCATTCGCTCTCGATTGAGTTTCCAGCAAGATGGAAAAACCCAGCCCTTCCTTTGCAAAAAAAAATGCCTGAAGTCTCAGGGCACCTACAGATTGCAAACAAAGCCTCTTTGTTCCCTTCCTCCCTCCAAAACTCTTGGCAAATTTTCCTTTCCCCCAAACGTGTCCCCAACACCCGAGCAGAGCTAACAGCTGACGGTCAAAGAAAGCCCCGCGTTCAACACCTTGTCTAAATCTCTCCCAGCCGATAAAAGATGTCACCCACAAACAGCCACAGGAGTCAAAATGCTTTGGGGGTTTTATCGTGTGGTTTTATTTTTCCTTGAAATTGTCTTTAAACTGTGTCTTGCCAAGCGCAGCTCCATACCCTCGCCTGCATTTGCAGGGGTCAGTCACGAGGGGAAGGAAAGAGAGAGGACACGCACTGAAGCATCTTCGCACCCCACCTAAAAGCTGCTCCCTTCCCCCCCCCGGCATGCCTGCCTCAGTTTCCCCAGCTGGAACTGGGGATTATGGTACCTGCCCTGTGCCCAGTAGAGCCAAGTTGATGGTCATGGCCAAACCATTCATAGAAATCACAGCCAGCTGGAACTGGGGATTATGGTACCTGCCCCGTGCCCAGTAGAGCCGAGTTGATGGTCATGGCCAAACCATTCACAGAAATCACAAAGCAAAACCAAGACCCAAGGAAGAACTGGGCCGATTGAGTCTGCAGAAGAGAAGACCGAGGGAGATTGAATAGCAGCCTTCAGCTCCCCGCAGGGGGGTGCAAAGAGGACAGAGCTGGACTGGTCTCAGTGGGGGCAGATGAGCAATGGGCTCAAGCTGCAGCAAGGGAAGTTGAGGTTGGATATTAGGAAAAACTCTCACTCAGAGGATAGTGAAGCACTGGAGCAGGGTACCCAGAGAGGGGGGGCAGTCTCCATCCC